GTATGTTAGAGGAGATATAGGGAGTAATAGAGATATGTTAGAGGAGATATAGGGGGTAAAATAGAGATATGTTAGAGAGACACAGGGAGTAAAATAGAGATATGTTAGAGAGATACAGGGAGTAAAATAGAGATTAAAATAGAGATATGTTAGAGGAGATATAGGGAGTAAAATAGAGATATGTTAGAGAGACACAGGGAGTAAAATAGAGAAAGATTAGAGAAAGAGAGAGAGATAGGTTAGAGAGATATAGGGAGTAAAATAAAGATATGTTAGAGGAGATATAGGGAGTAAAATAGAGATATGTTAGAGTGATACAGGGAGTAAAATAGAGATATGTTAGAGGAGATATAGGGAGTAAAATAGAGATATGTTAGAGAGATATAGGGAGTAAAATAGAGAAAGGTTAGAGGAGATATAGGGAGTAAAATAGAGATATGTTAGAGGAGATATAGGGAGTAAAATAGAGATATGTTAGAGAGATATAGGGAGTAAAATAGAGAAAGGTTAGAGGAGATATAGGGAGTAAAATAGAGATATGTTAGAGGAGATATAGGGAGTAAAATAGAGATATGTTAGAGGAGATATAGGGAGTAAAATAGAGATATGTTAGAGGAGATATAGGGAGTAAAATAGAGATATGTTAGAGGAGATATAGGGAGTAAAATAGAGATATGTTAGAGGAGATACAGGGAGTAAAATAGAGATATGTTAGAGAGATATAGGGAGTAAAATAGAGAAAGGTTAGAGGAGATATAGGGAGTAAAATAGAGATATGTTAGAGGAGATATAGGGAGTAAAATAGAGATATGTTAGAGGAGATATAGGGAGTAAAATAGAGATATGTTAGAGAGATACAGGGAGTAAAATAGAGATATGTTAGAGGAGATATAGGGAGTAAAATAGAGATATGTTAGAGGAGATATAGGGAGTAAAATAGAGATATGTTAGAGAGACACAGGGAGTAAAATAGAGATATGTTAGAGAGATACAGGGAGTAAAATAGAGATTAAAATAGAGATATGTTAGAGGAGATATAGGGAGTAAAATAGAGATATGTTAGAGAGACACAGGGAGTAAAATAGAGATATGTTAGAGAGATACAGGGAGTAAAATAGAGATATGTTAGAGGAGATATAGGGAGTAAAATAGAGATATGTTAGAGGAGATAT